ATTCTTACTGCAAGAAACTGTTGAACAGCACAAAGCCAGAGTTCTGTCTTTGAGTAGCCTGCCTTTCAGCTTGAGCTCGAAGCCTAACTTTACGTTGTTCCAAAGTCTCTTCCTGTATTTGAGCAGCCTGTCTTGCAGCTTGTGCTTGAAGTCTTTGATTGAGTTCTTCTTCTGTTTCAGCTGCTCTTTGTGCTTCCATTCTGTTAGCGGCAGAAGACTTTCCATAGAAAGGGCATTTCTTGGGTGGCATAATACCTGTATCACTAAACAATAATTTGCAATTCACAAAGTTACTAAATCACTTAGCATTATTTAAAGAAAACTACTTTTGGAAATACTGAATTGACAGCAAGGTGATCTGAGTGTCTCTTGCCATAATGCTTTCTATGTGCAAAATGTGCTTATGTTTGTATGATTATTACAAAAAAATGGTGCAGTAATCATTAATTGCCAATTTCGTCATTAAATACTACACCAAATACAAAATAAATAGCAACATTAAATTTCTTGTAAAAACTGGTTATTATGAAGTTATTTTAAAATTTGTAAGTTAAACTGTTTGGTTTGCTATAGCGAACAAATAAATAAACTTCCTCTTTTATGTATATAGATATAAAACTAAAATGTTTATATGTGAAAACTGTAAAGCACATTTATGTATAAAAGTAAGTTTCTACTATACAAACAAATCTTTAAGTTAGTAGCTCATTTTTCCATTTATAGTGGTAGGAGATAAAAATATAGATATTAGGTAACTCTGTCAGAAGTTTTGTAAAAATAAAGAACAAGTTTGTGACAAATCTTGCTCTATCTTTCCACAAAATTCAAGTGTGATGGGAAAGAGATTGATGAAAGGGATCATATTATAGATAGGCAATAGCAAAGTTCGTAACACCAGGAAGCCATAAACATTGAATTCACTGAGTTAAACATCTGAGATTAGAAATACGTTTTCTACACCTCACTAATTGACTGTTTATTAATAATATGATGCAGATTTTAATTTGAAGTTTTGCTGAACTAAGGGAGAAGAGTTCGAGGTTATGTTGCACCTAGAAAATGGAAACCTGCAGCTTCAAGGAAGCTGGAGACTGCAACAGTTGTTAAAGCCTTGCCATGAAGCTGTTGTGCAGGTATGTGTAGTTACTGGTGATGTAATAATGTAAAACTGACATCACATGTATAGCAATTTTCATACTAATAAGTGAATACGATGTTTACCCATTTCATATTACATTACTTGCTTTTGTTGTTTCCTATCTTGCTTAAAATATAACTTGTTTAATGTGTCTTTTTTTTTTTTTCGAAGGGGAAGATTTTATTTAGTGACTGATGTGTCTTGGGGCTTTTAAGTGCTAAAGACACAGAATGTTTATAAACATGGTCTGGTTGTATTCCCCAAGATCTTTTTTACAAGTATGTCTAAAATAAAACAATTTTAAGGGCACCTAGCTTTTTCATACCAAAGGTTAACATCTTGAAATAAAATATCCAAATATTACAAAAAATCTAGGGGCAGGAGAGCTTCCTCTGACCTACTTAAAGAACATTTCTGAAGTTAAATCCTTCTTTAGACACTATAGACACATAGGACTAGTGCTTAAATCTGGTTTCCTGAGTACAAGTTAAAATTCAAATCTTTTTTTTTTTGTGATCATTTGTTATTTGTATCAGAAGCTTCCAAAATTTATCACCTAGTTAAACCATTATTAACTGGTTAAAATTTACCACATAAACAACCATTACTAATTAGTTTGAAAATGCAAAGCTGATGCTTATATTAATTTTTATTGTTAAGGGAACCAAGTAAATATTTAGACTTTTTCTGTGAGCATCACTCAAAAATACCAACTCAGAATTTGAAAATATTTTCAAAGTTGCTTTAAAGAGCCCAGCTTCACCTGGGATGTCAGTGGGGAGAAAAATAGATCTAATTTTGAGGAACAAAGTACTATTCAAAGATCTAAATTATGTTATATGTTTAAAAGCAAGGTTGTGGTGTTTTGCTGTAAACTCCACTATAGTAAGCTTCACAAGATCAGCAAAATGAAAACTGTACAAGTATACACGTTCAAAACTATATACATATAGAGAGAGATGGTTTACATGAACAAGTACTCTCTATCTACATTTGAAGGTTCAAACGTAGTGTGCAATGTACTGTATGTTTTATCACCCCTTTAGTTAAAAATAGTAAATTTTGAAAATTTTGTTTTTCCTGGTTTCTTAGTTGAATACAGTGCCACCCTAGTAGGTTACTAACTTTCACTTCCCATCTGTGAAGATTTAAAAAGCCTATTTGTCTAATTCTCTTACAGAAATAACAACATTGTTTTTACTTAGAGAGCTGAGTTATTCATGTTGGTGAATCAGATAATGGTTGTAAATGGACTCGCTCGTGATCTTCACTGCCTGTTGGCTAGCTGATCTAACAAGAACCAGTATGTTACTGTTTTTTATTGATGAAAATGCTGGGGCTTGGAAGAGCAAACTTTTAGAGGTTTCATGTATGTTTTTATTCAATCAATTTGTTCAATAGAATCCTTGTAGGTTTAGGCTGATATATTTCCCATATTTAATGTAGAAAGAACTCTTTTTTAAATTAGAATTGTGTGTTACTCGAAGATAGTAGCTTTTTTTTCTTTTCATTTAAGGAGAAATCCTAAATTCTCATGCAGTGTTAGATGTACATCTCCTGTAAATGAAGTTTAGTTTCACTTGTTTAGAGTGAGTACCATAAGGCTCTTGCTAGTGATACAGAGTTGCTTACATTTTCTACATGTAAACGATTTTTAGAATTTGCTCCATTATAAATGTGAAACATAGTTAGTGGAGCATTGGATAAGGCAGACTAGGATCAAGATAGCTCTGGGTGAGAGGAGGTAAGTACCTATTGGAAATACATTTTCATTGGAAGAAAATGTTAACTTTTGATGTACAAATAGATGATTCACTTGTACTAAGTACTTTGGATGTACAGATTGATAAAAATACAAAAACTAGTCATGGTGTATTGTCGTACAAGGTAGTTTTAGAACTTTAGAGTTGTAAAAGTCAACTGTTTATTATTTCAATTGTAAACATTAGTTGATTTAATGATTTAAGTTGTTTTTTTCCAGAGTCTGAAACAGAGTCCTGAACTCAATATATTTCTACTGGAGTTGAAAGATTTACTGGTAACAAATTGTAGTTAGTTATCTTTTATGTGTTTTTAATGATAAAATTTCGGGATATCAGAATTTTATCTCAGCATACAGAAAACTAATCAATAAATTCAGCCCTGATTCTCCAGACACACATTAACACTTTCCTTTAACTCCTCTACCAAATGACCTTTTGTTCTACTACCCTCAGAATTTTACACAAAGAACAGTTTAATGGCTTTAATCTTACAAGTTTCTTTAATAACTTGGAATACTTCAATTATATCATCAATAATTTTTAGTTTTTTTTAAAAAGAATATATTAGAGATTTCAATCCATCCTTCATCAAAATAAATGGCATAGTTGGGACCAGAATACTATTCCTGTAATTTTTTCAGGGATTAAAAATAAGCACATGTATTTACAAAATAAAATTTATGTATGATGTTTTATTTTATATATTTAATACTTCTAACTTTCTATACAGTGTGGCTATCTTCAAAAAATTTGGCAGTTTTTCGGTTAATATCACAAGTCTGTCACATACAAAAAATCATATTTTTAGTGAAGTATTTTTAATAAAATAAAATAAAGATTTGTCCATATGAATATATTGAGTATTTGTTTTGAATAGATCATGTGCAAAGTAATTTTCATGTTAAAATTAAAAATACTTTTCCTCATCTTAGAAATCTCAAATTTCCTTTGTGTAATCTCTAAAACCTCTTAAATGCATTTCAAATGGTTTTATGTAGTAAAGCTTTATAGTTTATCCATTATTTTGTCTAACCTATCTAAAAACGGGATCGATCAATTCGACTGACCTCGTAACCACAAAACAAATGTAAGTAAACCTAAGTTACACTTTTTTCTTTCTAGAATGACTTCAAATTGTAACATGAAGCTACATTCGTTTATCCTAAGTAGCTTTAAGTTTGTAACAGTATACATCTATTTATAATTAAATTTTATTGTCCCTTGAACCATGTCTAACTACTATTTGCACCATTATAAGTTGTAAATCATTTAGGGAATGTGCAGGTCATGTTACGCTATTGAATTACACTACCCACGAGCTGCTCATGTGTGTGCCTATAATTTACTATAATATTATTATTATTATTATTTATTTTACCTAATCTAATCTTAAAAACCTAAAAGTTACATTTTAGTTACTTTTATAATTATACATAAAGAATAAACATGAAAAACAAGACATAAAATACTTAACCAATCTTTTTTTTTCGTGCTGTCGGTTTTTTATACTATAGATAGTAATGCATTTAATAATTTTTATTTAATTAAATAATGTACCAAAGAATATAGACTTAATAACATGCAAAAAGTAGACAACTTCCCTTACTCGTGGGTCACACTAGTGGAAATTCAGGATTTTTTTAAATATTGCCTTGTAGAATTAAGAACTTAAAACGTGTATAGTATTAGAATATGGATTATTAACTAAGATTTTATGTTATTCTAATTGGTATAACATAAACAAAAATTTAATAAAATTTTAAATGTAAGACACTAAAACCTTGTGTCATGCACAGTAAAGGATACCTGTGGTGATAGGGTTAAAATGATGACTTGTATATATGAATTTACACAAATAATTATTTTATAATATGAAGAATGTATACATTAACTAAAGATAATATATAATTTATATTCTTATTACTAATGTATGTCAGTTGTATATTTCATATATTCATATATAATTCAAGGATCAGAAGTTTATAAGGATTTAGTTTCAACTCTGACATAAAACATTTTGCCACTACACCACTGATCAGACAGTGGTCCTTAAAGATTAATAATTATGTCTGCATGTATAATAGAGCAAGCAAATTGTAAAAAGAAAAGTGACTTTACATTTGAATATGTTCTACTCATTTCCTTTTGTTTTGTTTTTTCTCCTTAAGTTTATACAGCAACTGTAAGAAATTTGTTGTCACCTCAGATGTGATCTGATTCTGTATGTTCTTCAACCAAAGTAAATAAGTATATTTATGTATAATGGTTATTTCAATAAAATAAATCTGCTGTTCGTACTAATGATTGTTGTTTACATGTATTTATTTTTAATTCCCATACTGTAACTTAACCCCTTTCACAAATAGTTATTTTTGTTCAGTGCTGCCCTCTATATCCAAAAATTTATCACATGCTACAAGCCTTGAGGTCCCATGATCAACATGGTTCAACTGACTTTGGACAGATAAGCTGTTATACTGCTATATATTTTGAATATTTTTTTATCTTAATATTTATCATGTGACAACCCTCCACCAATAGGATTGCAATATACCCTCCTGACGCATGTGATTTCATTTATTCAATTGTACTGAACTATCACGTTTTTTCTTCATGCTCTCTTCCCAATTGATTTTTTATTAATTTCATATGAAATGGAAATATGTTTCTATGTTTTCTTTTCCTTACTATAACAATTTTAATTGATCACTTACTTTTATTGTTCTTCACATTTGTTAGGTTTTCACCGAAGTTTATGATTCCATTTCGAAAGTGATTTCATTTACTTCCAGCACAATGACAGCTTCAGGTGGCAGTACTTTACTTAGGAATTGTCAGCTTTCATATGTCAGGAGATCGATTGTTATATGAGTTGACCTTTTTTGGGCCTCCAGTTTAGGGGCCTACACAATTGGACTATGGTCTGCTGACTTTGGACAGATAAGCTGTTATACTGCTATAGATTTTGAATATTTTTTTATCTTAATATTATCATTTGTTTTTATTTGGCTTCTATAACTTAAATTTAGTTAGATTTGTAAATACCGAATGTAAGGTTAGGGTTTTCAGTTAGAGCTTAGTGATATCTTTTGTACAACAATGTTAGATTAGGCTTAACAAGCATCTTTGTTATTTTAGGCTTACCTGTCATTAATTTTATTGGTAAATCATAAATTAGGTTAATTATATTGTTTTCTTGAACAAATACCTTCAAATATTTTTTTATTGTCAGTACCCATGTACTTAATTTTACAATATAAAGACAATTTTAGTTTAGTAATTATTTATATTTTCTACTTCTTACAATTGATTTGGTTTGTGAGGACCCCAAGGGCCTGGCTCTGCCCATCCTTTTCCCACTATTGCTCGCTGCCTTCCTAAAACTGCCAAACCTGTTCGGACAATGTAGATTTTGACATTTTTTCCTCCACCTGATTATGGCTTGCTTCCAAGTCTGTTAGGCATACCTCGGCCTTTTTTTAGACATGTTTCACAGTTTTGTTTTTTTTCTCCACTCCTCCAGACATTATGGTTCATGTTGGGTCCTTTCGTCTCTTTTTGAAAGAATGTGCTTGCATCCCTTGCCTCTACCTCCATGGGTTTTGGTTCATTTTGCCTTAGCTTACCATAAGGTGGATTGTTTTTTATTTTCTGGATTCTCTGCACTTAGAATTTCTGTTGCCTGTATGGGGGTGGACCCTGATGATCTTATATTTTTATTCCTCATCAAGATTTTCAGCCTTTATCTTCCTCTGTCAACTCTCCTACAGGAATTGTTTGCTGAACATTTCGTTTCTGAGGCATTCCACCTAATTCTTGGGGATTTTTGTGGTATGCCTCTCACCCTCTTTTACCTCCATCTAAGGGTGATTACCATCTTCACCTCTATCCCTACACACTTCTTTGCTTTTGGAATCTTCTGTGATGGGACACTGTCTTGTACTAAGTTTTTTGTGGTCCATTTTTACTTGGGACTTATGGCTAGCTCTTTTTCTCCATAAGTCTAGGTTTTGTTTTGGTTACTCCTGTGACTTTAATGTCACATGGAGTATCTGTGATGCTCCAATCAAGTTTTCTTTTTTGGTTGCTCATTTGTCTCATTCTGAGCCATTGCATTCTTTATTCATGTTTCATCTCTGGCACCTTCCTGTCATTTATCTGTCCTATCTCTAAGGGTTCCTCCATTAGTCGTGTATTCTTGATGCTGATTGGAGTTCTGTGATTGATCTGACCCACCTCAATCACTTCTAGGTTATTTTCTATTTTACTATTTTGTTGCTTATCATCACACTCTGGTGGGCCATTTCTCCAGGACTGAGGATGTTCAAGGTAGATGTTTCACGTTCTTATACCCATGTTCCTATTTTTCCTCCTTTGTGATGCTATCTTAGGTTTGTTCACCACCGAGTTGGGTACCAGTCTTGTGCCTTACCTTTCACTCTTGTTTTGGATCTTTTAGTCTTTTGTTGAGTGGTCAGTTTTACCTGGCTTCAGCATGATGGGGGATTGTATTTATACCACAACTTGTTCTTCTGGCTTCTGTTAGCTCATTCCATACTAGAGTTGTCACAACATACTCATCTGCTTCTAACCCATGCAGCTTGGGTGGTTGGATTTTCCAGTTGGAGAAGCCTTTCCCATTATCTACATGACATTCTTGTCTTTTGGGGGGTATCTTTTTCAACACCCAACTCCATCAGGCCTATACGTCTCCTTTTTGACTGCTTTTGATGGAGCTTTACTATTAACTATCTTACTGCTAGTGAGGTTCTATCACATTGGTGGATGTAGCTTCAGGGGATTCTGCATGAACCATAGAATCTTGTTAGTGTTCCTTTGGATTTCCCACTTAACTTTCCTCCTTCCCTTTTTGATGAGGTGCATTGGTGGTTGAACAAAGCTCTCACGTTGTCGAGACCACTTCATCCCTCCTTGTCGAGATTTCTTTTCCCTGATGTTGATGTTGGGGTACTGTCAATCTGGTTTTCTTGACTGATTCAGCTCGATCCGTTTTTTTGGTCTAGGTTGATTTTTCCTAACCTGTAGTTTGGCATCTCGTGTGGCATGTTCTTTTTTTTTGTCATTTTCTTTCATCTTCCACCTTTATTCTTAGTCATATTTGCATGGCCTTCTATATATGTGCTCTTAGTTGCTTAATTACCCTCAAGGCTTCTTTCTGTTGGTTCCCTTTCCCACAGTTTCATTCCCTGATACTACTCCTCTGTTTGTGAATTTTTCCTTCTTCCCTTACCAGTTCGATTCGATTTTTGATTCATTTGTTGTTGTTTTTTTTCTTTCTTGTTTCCTTCTTCCCTTAATTCCTGGTGTCTTCACTCTGATCAGGCACCTTACATTTTACCTGCATCTCACCCCCCATCGTATATTGGAGTACTTCTTCCTTTGAGCACTGGGACAAAACCTTATATGTTTATCTCCCATTATCTGTTTCTTCCTTGTTGGGGTACTGTCTTCAACCTGTCACCATCATTTACTCTTCAGTGAGATTCTGACTGAGTAATTTACCTTTTTATTTAAATACCTTTTATTTTCAGGGGGGCATGTCCCTTTTTTCTATAAAGGATCCTGCTCTGTGGCAAGTGGTGCCTGTCCAGGTATCTTAAACTAGTCAAATCCACACTGTAAGGCCATGATGACTTCACATTTATAATTTCCATGGCCACTAAATGCACACTGTTGAGATGGGGTGTTCCACAAGATCACTTGCAGATTTTGTCTCACAATATATATATCTGTTTCATTAATATGCCCATTCCAGACCATACTGACCCATGGATTTCATGGGTAAAGCAGAAGGGGATAGCTGCCCATCCCTGACATTACTTAGATTGAATAAACCAGGAGTGGTCTTTATTTCAAAAAGGGCTTTCCTGGTCACTCATTGCACTGTCTCTGATGTTAATGTTCCTCCTGACTCTCCACTTCATTTTCTCCTCTCCTTTTTCTTCTAGTGGAGTATGGGAGTCCTTACCACTTTCCAGTTCCAAACTGCTGGGGTGGTGGATCATGAGGTATCCTCCTGAATATGATAGTAATATATGATACAAAAAATAATGAATCCATTCAGTTGAGAGTAGGGTGGTGGTGTTGTGCTGATGTAGATGATGATATATCCTCCAAGCTGATGCTCCATCTCTGAATGGGTTTATCCAAGGGGGATGATGTAGCTTTGGTATGAACCATCAAAATTGCAGTTCACTCCTTCAATTTGGATCCCTCTTCCTACCCCTACATGGATGTTGTTTCCCAATAGCTGGGTTTTGGATTCAGAGCAGGACCAATTACCATAAGTTCTCACGTGTGTTACTGGTGTGTGTGTTGCCTCACTCAATTGGTCTCATGTTCATTGCTAACGTGTTGTGGGTTATGGTGGATGAGCATGCGGGTTGCTTCAGTGCTTACTCTTGTACTACCCCATGAAGATTTCCATATACCGAGAATGATACTGTGCTGGGGGTGGTTCCTGTTTGATTGGTTTTCAGTGGCATGTCGCATAATAGAGGTATATATCTTGATTCTTCTGATCGTCCGGATGTCGGGTTCCTGAATAGGGAACTTATTATCACTTTGCTCACATGTGCCCTGTTCACAGATTTGCAGGCATGAAATCTCCCTCAGGTCTGCTAAACTTGAGGCAAAAACGGTATGATTCTCTTTCCTACCTTCACCTGATGGCTGGATTTTGGATTGCAGTTGACTTGTCACTTGTATGATCCTCTTTCCTACCCCCACATAGATGTCAGTTACCAGTGGCTAGGTTTTGGATGGTAGTTGACTTGCTGATGGTATGATCCTCTTTTCTATCCCCACATAGATGTCGGTTTCCAGTGGCTTGGTTTCAGATTGTAGTTGACTTATTCATGGTATGATCCTCATCCTACCTCCACATGGATGTCAGTTCCCGATGGCTAAGTTTTGGATACAGTTGACTTGCTGTGTTGAATCCGTCATGTCCTACCCACTCTACACCTTGGGGCACATCCTTTTACTTACATTCAAGTTACTGTTTTCTAAGGGATTTAGATTCTGTGATATCATGTGGTTAGGATCCCTATCCAAACATTATTCTCTCCCTTTTGGATGTGCTCCTCTCTTTTTCCGGCCATGTTTGTAACACCTTTTACTATACTGGGCATAATGTATACCTGGTACAGATGTGGTGTGGTCTCCCAAGTAGGATCCTCTACTGCGAGGATCTCCACTTTTCAGGTGCTCTTCAAATGCTTTCAAAGGGTGCTATTTTCTTTCTTTCTTTCGCACTGATCCCCCCACTTATTGAATGTGGGATTTTAGCTATATTTGTGAGAAGAAAGTTGCCGTATCGGAAGATATAATTTTCCAATACTGAAAATGTATTTCTGATAGGTACTTACCTTCTCTCACACCTTCCACCCTTCCTCCACACTGAAAACTGGTGCTTCCATTTACTGACAAAACTCTGCCAGTGATAATTTGGTAGAATCAAATAGAAGGAGTCACATGCATCAGGGGGGTGTTGCATTCCTATGATGATTTACATGCAAAATGCAGTTGAACCACGTTGATTGTGGAGCATGTGGGAGCTCAAGGCAGCACTGAAAGAGAATAGCTGTATCTTTGAGAGGAGGTAAGTACCTATCGGAATTATATTTTCAGTAGAGGAAATTTATTACTTTTGTTTGTTTAACTCAGATTTATATTAGTGCATTTATGTGTTTTTCTACATTAATACAAGCATATTAATAATATTGTAACATTTTTCCAGGAGAAACAGCTAAGACAAACCAAACTAAGAAGAGAAATCCTTCTTCCCCCACCCCAGTACTACAGTGCACTGTTGTCACATATAGCTCAGAGTGGTTGGGACAAGTAGGTTTATATATGTATTGTGGCTCATGAGAGATTGAAAGGCATGAACTTGACTGATTATAGTTTGAAAATGTTTTATAAATTTGTTCAGCATTTGAAACTTAATTACAATATTTTAAAAATTTCAAATAAAGAAATAAAGACACTAAAAAAGAATAGAAGTATGACAGAAGTCAAAATTTAGTACATAGTCAGTTGGAGGTTCACAGTTAATGTTTTTTTTTAAAACATTAAAAATTTTAAGATAATTATCTTTTATTATATTCCTGATGGAGCTTAGAGTATGTTTTAAATATTTGTTTTCTACTATTTGGACTTCTCAGTGTGATAATATTTTACTTTTGTTGTCTTATTTTGTATATGGATTTTTTTTTTTATAAATCTAGATTTGGGGTTAAGATAGTAACCCACAAGATATTCATAAAAAGTACAGACAGTTTTTGTGATTAATAGAATTGTGTGAATGTCAATCTTTGGTGTTTTTAAAATATTTCTTCTGGCACACAAATCCTGTCTTATTTTACCTAAACCAATCATTATATTTTTTGTAAGGCGTAATAAACTAAATTGGTAATTAATCATCCTTTGTTTCAAAAACTAATGGGGAGAGAGAAGAAAGTGTATTTTTATAATTTATTTTGTTTTACAAACCTACAAAAAAAAACTGATCAGAGTGTGTTTAGTGCAGTGGTTTCCTTGAATGAACAATTGCCAGTTTATTTTAATTGGTGTATTATATTTTTTCGTATGTCTCCTTTGGTTTCCAAAATAATTAGTAAAGCTACATGTCGAACATCTATTTACGATTTTTGTTAATCTGTATTAAACACTTTAAAACTAATAAAAGACCTATAGATGAGGTTGTAAGGAAGAAGACAATATAAGAATTAATAAAAGGATTAATACCTGGAAAAAAGAAGATGCAAGGATTATAGTTTGAACAAATGTTGATACAAAAGTAAGCAAGTATGAAAGGAATTATTGCCCAGGTAGTGAAGATAAAAGGATTATTCCCTGGGCTGAAAAGGATGCAAGGGTTGTTTTCTGTACTAAGCATGATAAACAATTAAAATCAGAGTATATCTAGGAGAAGCATTTTACATTAAATTTGTCTTCTACATCTGCAGTTCCCAACCTCTGATCTGCTGACTGGTCCACAGAAATATTCATTGAAAAAAAAAAGTAACTCCTTTCAAACTTTTCTACGACTTTATGTATAACTGTGCACTTTGCGTACTTCTAATCTATAAATCATTTACAGAAAGTTGAGAATCTTATACTAAAATGACTTTTAATATGTAAATTAGCAAGTCATGTGGCAATCACAGCTGATGTAAAGTTGCAGTGGTATAGCATGTATCAGAGTTAAATTTTGACACTGCCATTTTGTAGGTAGTGTGGTGCCACTGAAAAGTAATTGTTTTAGGGAAGGAGATCAAATAGCTCTTACTGATGAAGATGTGTTCAGATTGGGGGTTTAGAATTTACAATATGGGGATATTACTTTTAATTAATGGCATTGAAAAACAAGGGAATGCGAATCATCTTTGGGCACCATGACCATCCAGAAAAAGACCTGCAATGGGTCATATCCCAGCTGTTGTAAAAAGAAAAAGTGCAGCATTTCATAAGAGATGAGAATCAAAGAACACAAAGTCAGTGTTAAAAGCCATCAGTGTGCCACAGGCACAACATAATGAGGAAGATCTCTGTCTGGAAAAGCCACACAAGTCATATATACAAAAGTTGCTTTCACAACATATGTGTTCAACGATTGCATCTCTCAAGCAGCTGTACAATGTCTTCATGTTATTTCATACAAAAACATACTGGTCAAGTTGCAAGATGCAGCACCCATGGATTTCTGTTTTATTATAATGTACCCAAGTTCAGATGCTGTATTACAGGCCTATATACTTATTCTGGTTTATAAGGTTCTTTTCAAAGATTTTGTTCTTCATTGGGAACCACTGTTCTAAGTAACTGATTTGAAACATTATCAGATGCAGATCCAAACATCAGTAGATAAAGAACAGGTAATTTTACAAATGAAATTATAAAGAACAACAACTAGTTCTTGATTTTACAATATATTTAGTTATTATAGCTTTCTTACAGAATTAAATTCAGTGACCCTGACCTCAACACATTACTTGTCACAGTTTTTTTCTAGGATAGAATACAGACCTCCTGACCTCAGAAAGTTGCATCTCCCAGGTTTCTTCTAGGACAGATTACCTACACACTGAATTCAGTGCACTACATCTCACAGTTTTTTACTAGGGTAGAATACTTAAACTCTCTCCTCAGTACACTATATCTCATGGTTTTCTTCTAGGGTGGAGTACGTAGACCCTGACCTTAATACACTACATCTGAGAGCAAAAGATGAGAATGGAAGATTACACATTCTGCAGTTACATCTACCTAGAGAGGTGAGGGTATAACTTCTGCTGATACAATTATCTAAAAATTGAGGGTACACAGTCTGCAGTTCCGGCTACCCAACTAAGTAACAATGCACATTTATCTGTTACACCACCCTGGCATGAAAGATTACTTATTCTGCTGTTAAATTTACCTAAAGAAGTAAGGTTATCCATGTTTACTGTAAAACTAAGCTCACGTGGACCGTGGTTAATTAACTTATTGGTGTAACATAAGATATTTTGCAAGTAAAATGCATTATGATTTGTTTTTTTTTTTACCTTGAAAGGTAAGCTTTATGCATAATAGATAATTTTACCTTCAAAAATATATCCACATGTAAGACTAGTTTTAGATTCAAAGGTAAGTGTGGCCCATAACAGAAGTTTAATTGTAAAAGGGAAGTTTCACACAAAACAAAAACATTTGGTTCTTATCTTGAAAAATAGCTCAGAAACGCTACTCATCTGTCCACAGAACTGATACCTATTACCTCATGTCACTGCTAAGGAAGTGTTTTTTATATTTTAAGTGTTGAAAGAAACCCTCACCCCTATATATATTAATCTGTACTGTGCCAACCTTTGGTGTAATCATCAATAGACTGTTGCCCTTCATCATTAGGAGGGTGACACATCTCAGTTGCACAGTAAATTACATGAGTGCTCATTTTGCACTTACTTTTTTAAACTATAGTTACCATACGTAGTGTAGCCTTTGTTACCTTTATCCTGATTATTAAAAAGAAAGTTATAGATTTTTAAACATTTCATTTTGAACTTTTTATTCAAATTATATTAATGTGATTTCTTCTCTTAATCTAATTATAAAATTTTGGAACGTGTGTTCTATAGTCTATGGTATGATTTATTTGACAGTATTAATCTTCATTTTTAATTCAACTAACTCATTTTGTTAATTACTCTTCAAATTCTTCAATATAACAGTGACCAAGGCCTGTATACCAGGTTAACTTTAACAACAGTGAAAGAAAAATTAAATGGTTTCATGGATCATCTGGATTAGGAATTCATGTATTCTTGTTTATGACTTCTCTCGAGGTTTTAACTACTACTACCACTACAATGGTGATTGGAGTCTCTTTGTGGGTTAGTGATGCTACCACCTTTGTGCATCAGGTGTTGGTTACATTTTGATCTTGCATTTAGGAATCTTGCCACTGTTACTTTAGCTGAGCCTGCCCCATCTTTACATAAAATTGACCAACTGTTTCCCCAATCTATTTTTGTATGTAGTGTTGTCTTTGTGAGAAGAATCAATTAATCCTATTTTGTTTTTCAATAACACATGTATGTGTGACATTTTTTCTCCTTCACCACTTGTTCATGCTGAATCTCATTGCTGCATGAGTTAAATCTTTCTTTCAGCATGGGGATTCTCTTTCACCCTCAGTCTGCTTATCTTTGCCTCTTGCATTCTCAGCTTCATTATCTGCTAATGCTTCACTTTGTTTCAGAGGCTTTATTATGTCACCCTGACAGATTTACTGGAGAAGCTTTCACATTCCTATTCCATCTTGGCCTCTAATTTCTTTTTCCATTGTGTTCCAGTTAACTTGGCATCTTTGTTTCTGAGGTTAATTAGTTGAAATGCTTTACTTTCTGAGATTTGTTTTCCTCAATCTTATCTCAGGGGTCTCCTTATTGCACCCCTCCTTTGTGATGACATTTTGGGGATATTCATTATGCTTTGAAATCTTGAACTGAGACAGCACATCAGTAGACATCTTTTCTCACTATTTTTGGACAAGAGGGTCCCATCAGCATTCTTGCTTTATAGAACTTTGTAGGATCACCCTATTTCCTGCTCTTTGTCCTTTTGTTACTATCTGACATTCTTATCTCATAGGGCTGGCCATCATGAATCTTGGAGGTAACTTATTTGTTGAGCCACCCCTCTGTTCTGGTCTAGTAGTAACTCAGCTCTCCCACTTTGCACTCACAAGGACTCTCTTTGCCAAACGCCATTGGGTTACACAAGTGCATCTCCCCTTTCACGTTCAACACCTTCATTCCTCTCCCTCCTGATTATAAGTGCCTTAGAATAGGTCCTTGACCCCACTCTTTATTTTACTCCACATTTTTCACAGAATTCACAAGAAAATGAGAGATTGGTGACCTGTCATAGATGTGTCATACTTTGGTTGTTCCTTGATTCAAGATAGATGATTTTCTCACTCTGAGGTTTATGCTCTCTCCAGGGATGTGGATGACCAAGATCAGTGTCCCACATTCCTTACGCTTACAAAGTCTTGACCCCCCCATGAATTATCTCATTCATTTGGGGTCTTTCTTAATTCATATGCAAGGTGAACTCAGCCTTCTCTTTCATGTCTTCAAGACATGGAGTTTCTGATTAATAAAGCTCTTGTGCTATTTTGGGGACTCTTTCTTCTCTCAAGTCCCTTGTTCCTTTTGGATACTTGCATATGCATTCCCTTCAGTTAAATCTGGTTAATCAGTGGAATAATTTCAGAGATCTACTGTTTTCCCTTGTGACTCTCTCTCCTTCCCTTCATCTCTTGCTGTTGAGGTGACACTATTAATCATTGACTTGGTATTTTTGTAACATTTCTAAAGATATAATTTTCATATATGATCTTTGGTTTTATAGAGCATGAACATGTTCTAATCATCTCCCTTTTCTTATAATAGTACCCTAAGAAACCACCAGTTTGTTCAGCTGATCTCCCAGAGGATTTTGTGTTCAAGTGGCTCACGGTATTGTTAAAATATAGTAGAAAAATAGCTATAGAAGTGATTAACAACAAAGAGAACTAGGAAAGTCAGATTATAAGTTGTGAAATGTAAAAAATTTTGAAGACCCTACTAACAGTAGTTGCATGTAATTTTATTATACTGGAGAATAATAATAAATTTTTGAGTTATAACAAAGGAAAAATATGATTCCTTGGTTTTAAATAGTTGATAAAGTAAGATTATATTTGTCTGTAAATTAAATTATTCCATATTTTGATTGTTCATTATTAGATATAGCTGTATTACTATCAGCATAAACACACAGAAGTATCAGTGCTCTTCTTTTGCTTTGTGTTAATTCTTATACTTTTTTGTAGACTAGCTCTCTCCAGGATATCCTGGAACAATTCCAGACAAAGTTATGCTTTTTCCAAGACTTCTGGATGTGTATGGATGAAATTGACAGCAGCTGTTGGGTTCTGGAACCAGAGAAACCTCGAAGAAAAGACTGTAAAAGAAGACTTGTTCTTGGTATGTAAAGTTCTGTTGGAACAGAAATAGATATTAATATATAAAATAGTAACTATTTTGCTCGACACTTGTAAACAGATTTAAGCTCTGAACTTCATGATATGCAGGTATTAAGAAGTTATGAAAAAAAATTAGGTTGGAACATAAAGGTAACTATACATTAGGGAAGCTGATTATAATTAATAAATTATATAAAACTATTAAGTATGTTAAGTAACAGTAAAAACTGCAAGACCTTAAAAGTATTGAAATGTTTATTGAAGGACCTTAATGACACATGTCGACATGAAAATTTCATTTATTTGTGCTACGTTTCAGGTGTAAGGCCATTTATCATGCTTAAAAAGGCTTTATAACAATATAAAGAATGTTAAAACTGTGTATTCATATGTACATGAAAAAAATAGAACAGATGAAAAAAATATACAAAACATACAAAAATAAACTATTTGAAATGAAACATTATATTAAAATTGTTTGAGACAATAATTAAGTGTAAAAAAGGAAACCACAATATAGAGAATAAAACAAGGTAAAATTGTAGTAAAGAAAACAAAAATATTGTAAATAAAAAGTATATATCAAACTGGTCATAATGAGAATACATTAGGCCTTATCAGTTTAAGTAACTTATCGAATGGGCAAAGAAAATCACCAAAAATAAGTGTGAAAAATATATAGAGATATAAATGGATATAAAATGTGTTTCAAATTTACTACACATGTGTAATCAAAAATGTGTTTTAAATTTTGTCTTCCTTATAAATTTGGTATGATAGAAAAAAAAATATTTTTATTGTATGCTAGTGACCATAAACAGTGAAAGACTGCGTGCAGTGTTTTTCAAATCAAAACAGTTAAAATATACAGTTTTATGAAATAAAAACTTTATAGAAAAGTTTTCAAGAACTTAGAAATACCTAAGAAACAGTAATTGAAACATACAAAAAATTTTAAACATTTTAAATTACTTCTTAAAAAGAGATCACAATGAAATCTTTTCAAAATTTGAAATTTCGGAAGACATAAAATCAGTAATTGAAATATACAAAAATAATGTAAACATTTTAAATTACTTCTTAAAAAAACATCACAATGAAATCTTTTCAAAGCTGAGATTTCACGCAAATGTCACATAAAAAATTAGATATTTTATCAGCAGAAGCTAAATAATATGTAGAAAGTTTATCTTGAGTTTCAAGCAATGTCATCTATTAGTTTTTGTTTCTTGATTTGCAATGCATTAAAATCACATAACAGATGGGTTGAATTGTCACACCTATGTGTTTTAAAAGACCATAGCCTGAAAGTAGAGCAAATGAAATTTTATTTACAAAATTTGTTCTTAACCTTTTTCAGTAATCTTTTTACTAAGTATTTTAAATCAAGAGAAATCCAAAACCTAAATTGATTAAAGTGTATCACTTGGGTACTGTTCATGATGTAAGTTTATTGTTGGTAGCTAAGCAGAATCTTGATTTACAGCTAATAGCTCTTCAGTTGTTGATAATTACTTTAAGCTGAAAAATGTAATAAAACATCATGATAAGACTGAGTTTATTTGATTTAATTCCAACTATGAACATCATATTCAGAAAGGAAAACAGATATGGAAGTGGTGAGGAAAAGGGATATAAAAAGCATATACTGTGGGAATGTTTTCCCTTTATTGTGTGAAAATGAATTGCCCCAGCATACACTGACATTTTAATAATTTTTACTGTAACTTATCATCATTGAACCAATCAGAAAGTGCTACAGTAGTGTAAAGCCTATAAATGTGCATGCAGTCATACTATGTCCAGTAGTAGTAGTTTGAATCCATTTGTGACTCCTAGGGCCAAAATAGTACATGATAAGTGTGTAGGAACCAAAGTTTTGGTTTGTCAAGTATACTTTACGCAAATAAATTGTTTAAAGACACTATGTTTGTGTTGTAGCTGTTTTCAAGAGTTTGAAAATGGTTAATAATAGAACTAGTCAAGATAGAAAACTGCAGTTCTTAAAATGATGTTAAGTATCTCGGGGCATGTTCTTTATCAGATGGATAATGGTTAGGTACAAATTATTCCAATGACTTTGGTGTAAATGATACCTCAAGGACAATAAGATCAAGCTTGCACAAAGTGTTCTCTTGAAAACTGTTGCTGAAAAGAGTCAAGTAACCAAACTGAAAGAGTGAAGTGGATATTGAACCATAAACAGTGAAACGAGCACAGCAAACTGATGAGCAACAATCAATAACAGTTTCTTTGAAAGGGAAGAGGAGAACAGTATCATAATCAGTGTATAACATCTACAGTTGTAAAACATGGTGGGGTGTCCTCAGCAGCAGATTAAGGATTGAATGGGCCTGGGTCTACCAGGTCTGTTATACTTGCAACTAAAGACTAAAGTATAAAAAAACTAAACCTCAAGATATGTTTTACTTTTGGAGTCAATGGGAAAGTAATACCCACAGATTTGCAAGACTTGTTTCTTGAATAGAAAAGGTGGTGCTCTAACACACACAAAAATTGCATTTAAATGACAAAGCATAAATACAGAAAGAAACTACATACATATGTGCTCAATAACTCTTCCATTCATGTGCACACACTCAAACAAATGCACACCTGCTTAGATCATACCTGCACTTGCATCATATGCCCAGCAGTTAACTACTGTCTTCCTGGCTATTTTTGTAACAAAGGCATTTATGATCTATTTGTGTCAAGAAATTCTAACAGGTCATTTTCTATGCACAAAAGTGCCAGTGCATTTAGCCTGTTTTGACACATTGTTGATTGAAGTGTGTTTCTTATCATTTTTAGCATTGAGAACGATCTTTCTCCCAAGCAGTTGATTGACATGATGCATTGGTACATCCTTAAGATTATATTGATGTTTGGGAAAGTTGAGTTGAGAGATTAGTCACATATCATTATGAACATTTGTTGTTTCTTGGATTCTGATGGTTTTCAACAAACCCTGCCTTGCAGAGAGTGGCAAATTGAGCAATTTATTCCTATGTGCAACTCTCCAAGTCTGTAGGATATGTATTAATCAACTTTTGGGCAGCATTATGGAAGTCCTCTGTAGGCATGGACCCTAAGTTTCATGGAAATCCAAATTTGCAAGAGACATTTTCATATGCCACTGTACTGTTGTCTAGTGCAATGTTTCTCAACTGGGTGAATGGCTCACCCAGGGCTTAATGAGATCAGAATCAAAGTGAATGAGAATGATGGGCTAAATGGCAGGGTGAATGAGTATTATCAACTATACAACAAATTCAAGAGCAAAAAAGTCATTAGTTATTATCATTTATTCTAGTTGTAGTTTGATAAATACATTTATTTTATGTTATATTCATTCTAGTTGTAGTTTGATGTATATTTAGATCATGATAAAGAATTTTGCAAGTATTTAGTAATTTGTTGTCATTTTTTTCAAACTGAGGTAAGTGAGCTGTTGTGAAAAACTTATAGGGGGGTGAATGATATTGGAAAAGGTTGATAAGCACTGGACTCTAGTGCAAGTGACAATTTGTCAAGTATTGTTAAGGAAGCTTGAACTTATATTGAATAGAGGATGAAAAAATTGGTGTCCTCAGCATCCCTTTGTCCCACATTGTATATCTTTTCCTTGATCTTATGACCTTATATGTCCCACATTGTATATCTCTTCCTTTTCCTTGATCTTATGACCTTATATGTCTCACATTCTGATAGTTATTTACCTTTTTCCTCAAAATCTGGAAACAATTCTTGCAATTCCTGCATGATTGTCTTGAGAAATTTTAGCAGATGAGAAACTGTACTGACATCCAGTTGGGAATTTTGTAATGAATGACTTATCTTGTGAAACCTCTTCAGGATAACGCTTCATAATTCTGTTATTATACCTGTTTCTAGTTGTTCCAATTGTAGCATAAGGCTTCTTAACTCTAAGTGTGCTTGAGGCTTTTCAGATTCATTGTCAATAATGGAAGCAATGACTCATTTGAAGCTTTGTACCTCATTTTTAAGGTTCACATTAAGTACTCCATCTTGTTTCTGATAGCCTCTTTACCATTGGGAACTCTAGTTTCTCAAGCACATTGTGTAGGCACTTCCACAGGTGGGTTGAAACTGAGAAAAATGCACAAATCTTCTGCATAAAGGCAAAGAATAAAAAAGCTTCAGCACAGCAAGTTGTCCAACCAAACTGAGTGAATGAGCACAGCAGGGAACATAGTCTGCTAGGAACTTCTCTTTGATCAAGGCTTGCATGCCAATATAATTGCCACTCATATTGGATGCATTGTTTTAAGATTGCCCATGGAAATCATGAATTATTATATCAATTTTGTACATGCATTGAAATCTGCATCCTTGTACTGACAAGAGGTAATCTCTGATTCACAAACAAAATTACTCATTTCATCATGTACCAAGGATAGGTTAATATCTTCATTGCCGTTGCAATAATTGATTTCTTCCTGTTAATAGAGGCTTGATTCAACTTGATGAGATAGATTGTTTTCAGCATGGAAAGTTTTAGTCTCTACATTATTCTTTTCACAGTTTTGGGTAGTGGTTATGTTTTCAGCATTATCTGATTCAGGGCATGGGCTCAATTTGATATGATGAAGTTGACAGGCATCAGCATTTGGAGATTTAATGTATACATTGTTGTTTTCACAGTCTTGGCTAGTGAGGGTTTTGGCATTCTATAATTTTTTTCTTCCTCTTTCTTTGACTTTAGCTTTTCCCAACTGCTCTTGTGTTTGTACATCTGAATAGTAGATAAGGTGAACCCCCTAATGATTAATATATGTCTGCAGATAGAAGCATACTTCACTGTGTGTACATGTGTGAGAGAGAGATATTAGAATAAGCTAACTAATAGTTTTGTAACCAATGATTGCATATAATTTTCTGTACTTAACTCAGTGCTCGAAGTGAGAATTTAGAGGTGGGGGTACACTTGCACATAAAATGGTGATAGCATTTTTGGAATTCTTAATCAAGATGCAC